AAGAACCAGAGATTCTGAACGAGAAAGCAACAAGCCAGAAGAAAAGTAAGAAGACAGAGAATGAAGGAGAGAAAAATGGAGAGAAAAGAAAGAAAAAGAATAACCACCAGGAACAGATGGCTAAGAAAATAGAACAAAAGAGAAGGGAAGAACAGAAATATGAGGAGGAAATCAGACGGAAGGAAGAAGAACAAAGGAAGCAGGAAAAACAAAAACAGGATGAGTAAATGAGACTAAAGGAGGAAGAACAAAAGAGAAGGGAAGAACAGAAACAGGAGGAAATTAGACTGAAGGAGGAAGAACAAAAGAAGCAGGAAAAACGAAAACAGGACGAGGAAGTCAGACTAAAGGAGGAAGAACTAAAGAGAAAGGAAAAACAGAAACAGGAGGCTGAAATCAGACGGAAGGAGGAAGAACAAAGGAAGCAGAAAAAACAGAAACAGGACGAAGAAGAAAGGTTGAAGGAGGAAAAGAGGATAAAAGAAGAAAAACACAATGAAGAAAGTAAAAGAAAGGAACTGGAAGCATCAGAAGATCGGGGCACAGATTGTACAACTCTAAACGGCATCATTACCGCAAGTGAACGGGAAAGGTGGCATGCCACTTTTCCCAGCAGTGAGAAGGGAGTGGAATCAAGAAGAAGTCATCCCACTGATTACCATCCCAGCAGTTGTTAGTTGGCCACCTAAAAATTGGAAAAAGATGACTCCAGAGCAAAAGTATTTAAATTGCCAGTATTGCTCAGGAGTTGAACTCGGGAAAGCAATTACAATTCACAAAGGAAGAGTTGCTACTCAAGTATCACTTTTTGGCATCACCAGGCACAAAAACACCGACAGGAAGTGAAGAAAACACAATGGCAACCAAATCTCGGTTTTATTTATATCAAGCTTTGGCTTATATAATAAAGAGTGACAAAGAAGACGCATCAACTGTACAAACATTAAAGATGTTAGAAACTGCAGTGAAGGAGAGAGATAACTCCACAGACGATGTGATAAAGAGAATAGATGCTCTTGATATTCCCTTGAGACTTGGAGAAGACAATTGAACTCTAACATTTTAGATCTCAAACTTCATTATAATTATGTGCTAAAATTTTCAATTCAGGAGAATTCATTGTCTTTAAAGGTGGGGAAAGTGTAAGGTACTGGGGAATTTTATATTGAAACAAATAGGTATTAAATTGTGCGGTGTAATCTATAAGTAAATACTTAATTTGTGGCAAGACTGACAAATATTTTATAATGATTTTTTACAATTGTGGCAGTAATCCAGTATACTTATTACTATGATCACAAGTCAAAATTCAAGCTTTTACCAAATATTATCTTTTAAACTTAACGGTTGTGTTCTTACGCATAGTAACTTGGCTCGCAGCGAGCAAGCGAAACACTTTACATTTGTAATCAAAGATATGGCATTAGTTTACTATTTTTTAATGGATTTCACAGGCCAAAGTTTCACTTTTTGCCAATAAATTACAAGGGGGGGGGGGGGGGGGGGGGGGGCATTTCATTAGCCAAAACATAGTTTTACAAGTTAGGTGTGTACATATGTTGGTACTAGGGTGTTATATATCCAGTAAAGCAACTGATTTTATGTGAAAGCTCTGGAATTTGAAATGAGTTTATCATTGTTTACATTTTTTTTGTGTACAAGTGTTACGGCAGGGAATGTATGTAATTACTCATGGGTTACCTTCTTCATGCTATATATCATATAATTCCCGTATTAAGGATCATTTCTGGTAACCAAATATTCATATTTAAACGTCTGATATGCCTGGTATACATAGGGGAATACTTTAACTGCAATTGTTTACTGACCGGCGATTTTGCCGTCTGCCATTTTGTGGGGAATGAAACGTTGATTTTATCTCTCTTAATACCAATTCGTCCCCTGGACAATTGATCTAATATTGTATTTTTAATACCACACATTTAATATTTTATGGTTATACCCTGCCGGACACAAATATATTGTAAATATTTAGATGGTTGTGATGAACTATGTTTTATGTTATTTACTTATATGTACTTGCGAATATCGTCTGCTAAATTAATGCGCACGCAGTGGTGTCCGATTGCATATTTCAAGTTATTTTATTGATATTATGAGCTCTATTGTTTAGTTTAATGTTTTATTTTAAAGGACAATCATAGGACAACTCAAGATGATTTCAATTCTATGTTTTTCAATATCGTAATTTTGTATAGTTCCGGCTACCCGGAAAGGACAAGTAACCATTAGATTAGTATGTCACGTGACACTTACAATTTAGTATATAAACGCGTGAGCATTCAGTAATGGCAGATAGCCCAAAGTTTTGCTGGCGGCAAGTTTGAACCTAGAAAACAATAAATTTCCAAATAAAGCAGTAATAACCTTTAGGTGAGAATTAGGATAACATAATGAAGTTTAAATAGCCGTCTTTTGTACAGTAAGCTATCTCCCACCACGTCGGACACCACAAATATGTATTTTAGGATTTATTATTCAGTACACTTGAACGCTATTGTTTATTTATATAAAATCATATAATGTTATATGATTTTTTTTAACAGTTCAGCAAATAAAACTGTTAGCATTGAAAAGATCACTTTATTTTATCAAACTTGGATACATTCAAAAAGTATATGCATTTACACTGGTAAAACAACTTGAGCTGGAGGACGCTCGTTCGAAATTAAAAACTATGGAAAGCCGTTAGCAACACAAATAGCACAGTAACAAATAAATACAAAGGAAGCCGTTTAATACACATACTTTAACCAAACAGAGGAACTATATTTAAACACAAACTGAGGTGCTCCGGGGAGCAGATACTGCATTTTATGAGTGTTCGTATGTAAACTGCCCAGTATAGGACAGGATACTCTCGGGTGGCTTACAGTACTATTATGTTATTTATTTATGTATGTCTCTGTCCTGAATCTTCTTGAGTTTAGTTGTAATGTATTCCTGTCACGTAATGATGTCATTTTAGCTGTATTTTTAACATTGCCATATAAGCGGGAAGTTTGGCTAGCCATAAAAGTAGGTTCAACCCACCATTGTTTCTTAAAATGTCCTGTACCAAGTCAGGAATATGGCAGTTGTTATCAAATAGTTCGTTTCTATGTATGTTGGCGTTTGTTTTTGTAGCAGTTCAGTGTTTATATTGTTCCGTTGTTTTCCTCTTATAGTTGATGTGTTTCCCTCGACTTTGGTTTGTGACCCGGATTTGTTTCAGTTAAATCGATTTATGACTATTGAACAGCGGTATACTACTGTTGCCTTTATTTATGGACACCATCACGAATTGGTTGATCTATACGATGTGTCTGTGTCTAAACTAACTAACGACGTTTTTACCACGTCTTAGATTGTGGTTTACCATCTACGTCGTCTGGTCTGCTTAGTACCGAACGTGACATATTCCCGAATATGACTGTTTTGCCGAGTGTGAATTCGCATTGCTATACGACGTGTCTCGGTATTTATATATCTAACATTCACGTATTTAGTTATGATGTTTCTTTTGTAAGTCTTGTTGGATATTTTGTTATGTCTTATGTTCGCTGTTGGAGACGACGTGGTTCGGTATTTATATATCCCGCTTTCGGGCATTTTGTTGTTACCTTCTAATACGTGTGGGTCCGGTGTGTCATATTGTGCTGAGTTGTTGTCTGTTTATTTCGTTTGTGGTTTTAATTCTGTATTTTGGTACATTTCACATATTTCTTATTTGTCAGTATAGTCGAGTTACCCGTGGTTCGTCTACAGGGTTTTTGTTTCTTTATGTTGTTTGTTTTCATGTGTGTTAACTGTTTGGTCTTACATGATCTTGCCTTATGTTACAGTTATTTTATTTTTATTTTCTATATGTATGTAAAAGTTAAGATAAAAAATCAGCTACTTCATCTATATGATTTTCAGTTTAAAGCAAATATATGCATAGGATTTTTTTGTTCATACACAGTTTTGATTTAGAAGAAAAACCGACATGATAAGAAAATACAAATAATAGCACCATTACAAACACAATTTCAATTTAATATTCTTGTCATGGTAAGAAAATACATAAAATAACACCATTGCAAACTCAATCCTCATTTAATATTCTTGTACGTGGCTATGATACAAATCTATTTTATTTTTGGAAATTTACCTGTGATACTAGTAATATAAACGTCACAAAAATACGTCACTTTTTGTGACGTTGATCTATTCATGTGACGCGCAGTCTAGATTTCGTTTGTGGTGTCCTGGTATGCTGTCGTAAATTCATGGGAGGTGTCCGTTGTTATTCTGCGGTTTACATGTTGTAATACTATTATATTATTTATTTATGTATTTTTCTGTGCTGAGTGTTCTTGCGTTTGTTTGTACTGTATTCCTGTCACGTAGTTAACATTTGTTAACATTGCCATATAACCGGAAGGTTTGGCTAGCCATAAAACCAGGTTCAACCCACCATTTAAAATGTCCTGGACCAAGTCAGGAATACGGCGGTTGCTATCTACAGTTCATGTTTCTATTATGTTGGCGTTTGTTTTTGTTGCAGTCAGTGTTTCTGTTGTTCCGTTGTTTTCCTCTTATAGTTGATGTGTTTCCCGCGGTTTTAGTTTCCCGGATTTGTTTTTGTTTAATCGAATTATGACTATTACCTCTATAAGGTGATGATGAGGTCAAGAGTATTAATTTACTTTTACCTGACAGATATAATTTAATTCACAAGAGAAAGTCAAAATATTCAGTCAGAATTAACGGTATTGCTCGTCAGTCTAATCAAGGAGATTCGAATATAACTTCCTTTGTCTAATGAATTATTAATTAGTATTAACTATTTTATGCTACATTTTCGTTTCACATTCCATTATTCGTAACCCTCAGAACGGAATCTATTCTCTGTTAGGTCCCATTTTGTATCATTTCACTAAAAAAATGAAACTAAATTCTTATTAAAGGATCTGAAAGGAAAAATATATTTAGAAAAAAAATAATGAACAACAACACAAAAGCAAAAGCTGACTTTAATTTGTGATACATTTTTAGAAAGGTGAAAATTGATTTCTTTTTGTTCAATAGAGTTATTCAAACGTTTAAAATGTCTATAATTACCTTTTTTTTGGTATGCCAAAATACCACACAATTTAGGGGCGTTATCCTTAAACCTTTCATCTATCATAATGTTTGGAAAATATTGAACCAAACTAGTCCTATTTGTTTTCTCTATGTATCTGTTTTACCCTTTTTTATGATTTAACTACCCGACAAAGAGTTATGAATAAACATAAATTTGAGTTATACGTCAATGAAACTGCAACTATAAACACAAGAAAACAGAAAAAAAACAATATTTCCAACAATAGACAAGTGTCCATAGACAAGTGTTAATCCGTCTTCTTAACAATCAATCTACTTCAACCTAGAGTACATTCTACGATATATATCTAAGATAATGGTACATTTCATAAAAAATATGATATGACTAATCGACTGGTTTGAGATGTTCTTCTTCTAAATGTGATATTTTAATTTATTCATAACAACCTTGTTCAAACAAAAAATAATGTTTGTATACTCTACGATAAATAGTGCTAAAAACTAAAAGAACATCATTCATTGAAAATAGCTAACTCCTTTACTGAAAAAAAATGTTTTATATAGGTTTCAAAAGACATATTGTCATTTAGAAATTTTGTCTCCGGGAGTGTTATTCATTGGTGCAAATAGATCCAAATATATTCTATAAATCTTGCGATCAACTTTGCATGATATCTAGCATGTGAAACACTTTCCTTACACAATAACAGATGAATTCTATGTGGAGATATACATTTTGCCAATGATGTTAAGTATATGCTATCTTGAAAGGACGAATAAGATGATGAATATGGTTTTTCAAAAATTGACTGCACTATACTACGAAATTCCTGTGTAATTTCCAAACACTAAAAAGATCAGAACTGTTTTTTGTTTAATAAAATAGACTTCACATTGCTTTACAGTAGACTGATAAATTTTGATAAACAAACAACCGGGACTGAATTATTCCAAATATAATTTTGCCCTCAGAAGAAAATTTGTACATAATCATCATACTAGTTGATCTTTCACGTCTTGGTGATTTTCTTTCATGTAGATTTATCAACCGATTGATACCAAGTTGTGAGTCAAACAGATGTAATCACATTATCTCATTTATTGTCTTGTTACCTCTTTATCGTTATTATAATATGTATAGCAATTTATAGTAACGTTTTTAAAAAGTAAAAATATGTCAGGAGAGTCAAACATTTCTATGCTCTTGTTCCATTGCCTATTGGATCGAATTATCTTAGGAACCGCGATCGCCATTTCGCTGAGAGAACGCCATTCAATGAGGTTTTTCGAAAGATGAAAATATATTTCGGAAAAGGATGGTTTTAACAATGATGCAATATGTTTTTTTTTCTTACCAAATAGTTTTTTAGTCATCGTCGTCAGAACAATAGCAATGTTTGTAACACAGAGTTGTGTTGAGAATAATATCAAAGCAAGCAATTACCGTTGTAGCTATTGTAAAGTCGGTCATTTCCCATTTTGAAACAACTAGGCTATAGAAAAAAATAAAAATGTCAAACACAATTTCAAAAACCCTGTAAGCAGTCATTATGTTGTTTTTTTGTTTGGTTAGTGTAAATCCATCATGTTCATAATATATACTCCATAGGAGAAATAAAGTTACTAAAGTATAGAGTAAGATGGTATATACAATAATCGTAGAGAATAATCCTGTAGCTGTAGATCCTGATATGTAAGTGTCTTGGTTAAGGGCGCAAACCAATATAAATCCAACAATATTAGCTGTAAATCCAACTGCTATTCGAACAAATAGAAGTTTAGTTTCAATCTTGTGACGTCTTTTACTTTTCTGCTCATCCGAAACGCCGACTTTTGAACTATGACAGATTTCATACATATTAAGAAGAAAAGTTGATACAATATCAAGGTAAAATCCTGCATCACAAACCATTCCGAACTAAACCATGCACAAAAATGACTAAAACAAAGAAAACGCAATTTCATTTATATCCATATTATATACAAAGGTTCACCTTGCACAACTATTTATAGTTCTTGGTACAAATTCTTGTCGTTAATTGTCTTCTTACAATAAACTTTAAAACGTTTCTTTATTAGTACATACATTAAAAACTGTACATTACATTGCACATAAAAGATAGATTTAAAATATTTTGTCTGAGAATCGATAATTTGTCTGAGAATCGATATTTTGTCTGAGAATCGAGATTCTTAAAGGATTTGGTGTTGATGTCGATCAAAATTTTTTATACACAAGTTTATGAATTTAGTCTGAAAAGCAGTTTGAACTTAAGTTCTAAATAGAAAAATAAGATTAAAATTATTTTCAAATATTTTCGTTAAATTCAATCTAGCAGTTTCCAAATAACCTATAAATAGCCAATGTCATATTGTTTGCTTCGAGACTTTCGATATGAATGGCGGAAGACATGAAGTTACTAAAGTACAAAGTAAAATGGTATATATGAAAATCGTAGAAAATAATCGTATAACTGTTGCTCCTTGATGTAGGTGTCTCGGGTGAGGGGCAAACTACTATAAATTCAACAATATTAGCTGTAATTAACTTACTTATAAGAAGAATAACACCAGTGAATTATATGTCATTGAAAATTCAGTCCGTGTGTGAATTTTTATGATTTTACGATATATAGAAATGTAACACATATCCAAATATTTAAACTTATGTCTAAATAACTACGTATAAAATTAAGTTTTTGCATTCATATATTCATGCATTTTAAACACAAATTTAAATGTTTTGTATAAGAACTGACTGGCTTTTAACTATTGAAAAGTAAGGACACGCTCAATTAAGTATATGTATCTTTTACTTTTCTGCTCATCCGAAACGCCGACTTGTGAACTATGACAGATTTCATACATATTAAGAAGAAAAGTTGATACAATATCAAGGTAAAATCCTGCATCACAAACCATTTCGAACTAAACCATGCACAAAAATGACTAAAACAAAGAAAACGCAATTTCATTTATATCCATATTATATACAAAGGTTCACCTTGCACAATTATTTATAGTTCTTGGTACAAATTCTTGTCGTTAATTTTCTTCTAACAATAAACTTTAAAACGTTTCTTTATTAGTACATACATTAAAAACTGTACATTACATTGCACATAAAAGATAGATTTAAAATGTTTTGTCTGAGAATGGACTGGTTTATAAACTTTTAATAAAGAGATCTGATGTAAGTACAAGATATGTTTAAATGTGTGAACTAAAAAATGTCATTACGGGATTTGCGTTATGAATAGCTGTATTGTTATAAGACATATTTTTTTAACTTTTAGTTTACTTGCTCATTTTTGTTATAGCACTGATTATTTTACAAAAAGCGAGCATAAGCCAACCAAAAGTTAAACTGATGTCCAAGACAAAGCCTCAATAGTGATTATCTTGTTTTTAGCTAATCGAGATTCTTAAAGGATTTGGTGTTGATGTCGATCAAATTTTTTTATACACAAGTTTATGAATTTAGTCTGAAAAGCAATTTGAACTCAAGTTCTAAATAGAAAAATAAGATTAAAATTATTTTCAAATATTTTCGTTAAATTCAATCTAGCAGTTTCCAAATAACCGACAATCAGTATCTATTACTATTGCACAGGTAAATTACTGCTTATTAACGTTCTGAAAGTAGACTGAACTATTCATTGCAAAAAAAAAATGTCTGAACAGTAATAAATTAACTGTACACGAAGTGTCTGAACAGCGATGAATTAACTGCAGTAGATACTTCTGTAAATTGAATGAACTTGACTGACTGATTTATCAATCTATAAAAATCATTAAGATTAAAACAAATGTCGTTTCAGATCAAAATCTATTTCCCTGTGATACATAGATATTTTCAATCGCTGAGGAATATATCTAAACCTCTTGATGTTCTGTATCCAAAAGTTTGGAGTATTAAAAATGTAAAATGTTTGTAATTATAGAGTTTGCAGTAGTATTTTACCGATATTCAAATCTCATAAAATCGATAAAGGTGACAAAATAAGGTAAAAAAAAACCCCAAAACTGAGGGAATCGTATGTACTCCAAAAGATGGATGACATGGTGTGTGGACTGGGTAATAGTCCTCCGCTATGCATGCGAATCCACACTCAGTCAAAATGTCACCATCGGAAACAGGACACAATCGCTAAAATGAAAGATTAAAGCAAAACATGTCCTAGTGAGTTGAGACACAGACATTTCGTATTGGTCAAGTAATTTTAATGATGGCATTGAAACCCCTGAAGTGTCAATTTCAGTAGTTCTTCCTTCAACCTCTGTTGGAGCGGTTTTTGTGTAAGGATCAGACAACTGCTAATGAAGTCCGTGTGAACATGCACGAGCGTAGGGTTACAATTGAAATGTTATCCCCATACAATTGAGCATATGGTATGTTACTGCTTAGATTTCAGAAGTTGACGTTTGTTATGGATTCTATTTTTAAGTCTATCTGCGTCAATATCGAGAAAAAGATCAAGATTTGAAGCAAACCTTTGAGCTCGGTAATATCCTTTATCTCAAGCTCACTTGGATATATGAGTTGCAAGCTCTAACTGAAATGTAGGTTATTTAGTGACGAGGCATAATCAATTTGTCAGAAAGTGCAATTAAGGAACTCTTTAAGATGTATTTTCTTTTAGGTTTGAAGATGGTTTTGTATGATTTCTAGTAAATTCGTATAATAATATAAAAGGTCCGAAATAAAACGGCCAATATTGTTTAAGGTCGTATTTGTCAAGAGAGTTAATTGTATTGTATCTCAATGACACACTTTTATGAACTGGAAATTTGAAGACAAAAAAGTTTGAAGAAGGTAATAAAGCAATTGAAACACTTACAACAAGATAATGATAATTTTCAGATTTTGCGTGTATATTAAAACCAAACGAATAATGATCATTCATATTGGGATCAAATTTATAAACTCATATGAAATTCAAAACCCAGAAAAAGTTTTGTCCTAGAATACTCATACTATTACATTTGTCATTTTTTTGCAATATTAAAAACATATGAAACGAGTTTCTAGTAATTACAATGTTATCGAAATTATTTAACCAATGCATTTATATATTTTCAATCATTTCGTTCAGATAAAACTAATTAATTTAGTTCAACTGTTGTAACATTACAAACTTCCAAGATTGATAAAAATAATTTTGAAAAAAAACCCAAACATTTTCTTTATAATAATGATGCAATATTCTTATTTTCACATCATATCGTTTATTTCAAGGATCGGAATTCCAAACATCAGAACAATTTTTGAAACACAGAAAAATGTTCGAGAATAATATCAAAACAAGCTATTACCGTTGTAGCTGTTGCAAACTCGGTCATTTCACATTTTGATACAACAAGACTGTAGAATGAAATAAAAATGTCGAACACTATTTCAAACATCCTATAAATAGCCGCTGTCATATTGTTTGCTTCGAGACTTTCGATATGAATGGCGGAAGATGTCATGAACAGAAGACATGAAGTTACTAAAGTACAAAGTAAAATGGTATCCAACATTTTCTACATAAGAAAACGCCTGTACCAAGTCAGGAATATGACAGACGTTGTCCATTCGTTTGATGTGTTTGTGCTTTTGATTTTGCTATTTGATTAGGGACTTTCCGTTTTGGATTTTCCTCGGAGTTCAGTATTTTTGTGATTTAACTTTTTTATATATGAAAATCGTAAAAAATAATCGTATAGCTATTGCTCCTTAATGTAGGTGTCTCGGTTGAGGGCGCAAACTACTATAAATTCAACAATATTAGCTAATAAGAAGAACAACACTAGTGAATTATATGTCATTGAAAATTCAGTCCGTGTGTGAATTTTTATGTGTTTGCGATATATAGAAATGTATCACATATCCAAATATTTTAACTTATGTCTAAATAACTACGTATAAAATTAAGTTTAGCATTCATATATTCATGCATTTTAAACACAAATTCAAATGTTTTGTATAAGAACTGACTGGCTTTTAACTATTGAAAAGTAAGGACACGCTCGATTAAGTATATGTAAGAGAATGATAATCCCTTTCTTCATGATTAAGTATGAGCGTTAGCGAATACTTTTCACGAAGAAAGGGATTATCATTCTCTTACAAACTTAGGATATTGTAAAGGGCCCAAGGCTGAAATGATCTTTTGATTGATTGTATTTCAGAATTAGTTTCATTGTCAGTTCAATGTTTGTATTTAATGCAGGATTTCCTTTTTAGGCATTTCATTTATGGATTAGTTTTAGTGATGTAACTACTTTCTTATAATTTTGGAAAATATAATAGATTGTGTTTTAGACAGTAGATGACACAACAGAACAATGAAATTGTAAGAACTGTTTCCTGATTGTGAGTATGAAAGTAAATCATGTTATATTTTAGCGAGGAATCATCTTTTTTGTTTATTTCCAGTTCAAATCAATAAATTTTGAGTAACAACTAAATTTCATTTTACAGGCAATATTTTTAGCCCAGTCCTTTACATCAAATACTAATTCATTATGTCAGGGAAATGTTTAAATACAATGCCTTTTAAGGTGGCTGGGGTGTCTTTCTCCATCTTGGATTTTGAAATAGCAGATAACAATCGGTCTATATCTTTAATGAAATGTGCAAATTTCGGGAGTAGTATCTATTCATGTGTAAGACTTTTCGTGTAACTATAGAAAAATTATGTGTTTTATGATATTAACGGCTGTATTTTACAAAAAAACAGAATATTTTTGTTTAATTCATTTTTTTCAACTTTGCCACACAAGGGGAGATAACTCAGATAAAGTAACTTTTATAATAGAATGTGTTGTGAATTTACCTATTTGATTATGTAGCAAGAAAACGAGTCCAATGACCCAATTTTTTCTTTTTCTTATCTTATATTATTAACATATTATTAGAGCTATCTTCTCATATTTTATCTTACAATTCTATAGTGTAGTTTTCTTTTTATCACACAAAATTGTGTTTTCCATTCATACTCTATATAAAATCTGACAATTTTGCACAACCTGTAGCGTGAAAAAAGCCGACCCATACTTTTTATTAAATTTTTGATTAAAGCATGATATAAACTACATTTTGACAAATTATTAAAAACTCTATGGATATTAATGAAGACCCCCTATCCACCGTAAAGTTAAGAATATATTCAAAAGTTAAACTAAATTCCTTTTTCTTTCAAATTTCATCAGAATATTGGAAATTACTATTCTCTCCAATTGCGGATCCAGTAATCTGTTTTTTTTTGATAGAGTTTACGCAAAAAATTTAGGTTTTAATTAATTTCAAAACTTTTGAGTATTTTTTTTAGTAATTTGAAGTTATCAATATTCTAACGGTACCAATGTAACTGCAACAGTAAACTTTATCTTATTTTGATTTAAAAATTCAACTTTTAGTCTATTTTAAACACAAATTCTTTTAAAGCTGATAAATGAGCTTCGGGCCATTTGTAACTCATTTATAGGAACTTTTTGTTTTGAACTGTAAGTAGGCCTAAGCAATAGTATAATCCCTTACTAAGAACATGATTTCATTCATTCTTCACAATTAAGAAACACTAAATCCTACAATTTCATTGGTCGAGAGCGCTTTGCTATATTCTAAAATATGTTTAGTATTGCATAATGTTAGTTAATATACTTAAACGTTTTTAAAAATGTTTTTTCTTACAAAACTTTATCTTCACTTTTAAATTTTGCCATCCATTTATACATTTTAATACTGATTTAGATGTAAAAAAGGAGGGGGAGGTTGAGTACTGA